ACTCTTCAGTGCAAAAAATCGCAGAGACAACCATTAATTTTCCATAAATTACTTTTTTCATGTCACAAACATAATGTACTAATTTTCAGAATTACGTTGGTGAGTCACAAAAGCTTTGTGTTATCTCTTTTTATCTTACAGTTAGTCTGTACAACAGAAATTGCATGTCTGTCATAGCGACTCCCGTCTCACAGGTCTACCCTTGATTTCAGTGCTTTTGAATCAATGAGGATAGATATAATAATAATAATAATAATAATAATAATAATAATAATAGTAATAATAATAATAGTAATAATAATAGTAATAACCGACTGTGTGGCTTGCGTGTCCCGCCTACTCCGTCGTGGCTGGTCGCACGCCGCCGGGCCTGGCCGTGCCGCCGCGTTGACAGAGGGCCCACAACGGGCGGGTGGGTGACACAAAGGCGAAGAAGGGGAAGAGGGGTGAGGTGTTTTCGTAAATTTCACTTTACGACGCTCCTATTCGTCCGATTTGCATGATTGTTACAACGTTCGATTCAGGAAGCTTGTCGCCATCGCGCTATAAGCCCTCATTTTTTAATTTGTTCTCGGAAGTTTGAGAACTAATTTCAAATTCGCGTGTTTGCTAGATTTTTGAAAAAAGTCATCGTAGCGTAAATTCTATTTTAAAAAGACGTCAAATGCCGTTTACAGATCGAAAATCGGATCATATGTTCAGACGTTATCGGTAAAGTAAATTGTACTTATTTTGGTGTTGCCACGTGATGGCTACAACTTGTACAAGTGTCGGGACATTTAGCGTTAAATACATTTTTTTTAAACTGCTTTGAATTTTCCAATGGAAATTGCCATTTAGAACGAACAAACTTCTTTAATATTCTTAAACAAATATTTCGGATCTACTATAAAGAAATGGAAAAATTGAGAAATGTCAAAAAAGCGTATGTGGCAATTCCGAAGAAATAAATCTAATACTAAATGAAAGCAAATCCTCCAAACATATTAAATAATACATTAAATACTGTCAATAATTGTCTAAACTTGCTTTCTTCCAAGAACAGGCTAAATTCATAAATGAAGTTACAGTGTCGGACGAAGACCCCAGCGCTCGGCAAGACTCCCCCCCCCTCCCACACACACACACACACACACCTATTGGTTGCGTCATCTTAGCTAGCCCAAGCCAAAGAAAATAGAAATATAATAAGCCTGTGCCATTCTGTAGTACAATTAGTTTATATTAACATCTATTTTCTCGCTTTTTTCAACAGTCATTCACTGACTTGCGTTTCAAAAATTGTGGTTAAATAAATTTACCCAATATTCATTAGCCTCATTTTTTCTCGCGGTATCAGCACTTCTTTCTCTTGATCTATCCCCAGTCTAACTAAAAATACGAAAGTCTTTGAAAATCTGAGTACATTATGTGCTTGTGCTGCGCCGACTACTGCGCGCACGCATGCTTCGACATGCGCTGCCCGGTGCCACTCGGGTCCCCGCGAACACTCCCGATTTCACCCGAATGTTGCCGAACCACCGGGCCGATGCTCCATAAGGTCTTGGGACTAGCCGGTACGTTCGTATCCGTCCGTCATTGCAGGGAAATCTTCCCCCTTCTTCCTTACTGGCCGAGGGAAAATGAATATATTCACAGACAGTGGCGGCTCATGCTCAGAATGTATGGTTGCACGTTCCCCAGATAATCAAAAAATGTTTGTTTAAATATTAGGAATATACATTTTCGTTTTACTGACATTCAATATATTGTATCCATATCGATGAATGTGAAATTGAAACCATTTCGAAACCAAAGAGCGCCCAACTGGCACTGTCTCGGGTGGTTCGAGCCCTCCCATGTATTGCACCACGCTCTGAGTTCTTGATTCTATTACTACGATTAATGCATTTACTCTTTGGCCCTGCGCTTCAACAAGAGTTAATACAAGGCCTAAGATGACGCAACCAATAGATGGGGGGAGTCTTGCCAAGCGCTGGGCAGTGTCCCGAAGGGAATCCCAATTTTCGGTCTTCGTCTGACACACCTATAACTTCATTTTATGAATTTCGCTTGTTCTTGAAAGTACGTAAGTTTAGTCAATTATTGACAGTATGTAATGTATTATTGATTATGTTTGGAGGATTTGCTTTCATTCGATATTACATTTATTGATTCAAAATTGCATTTGATGAATTATGTTTGTAAAGTTGGCCGTTCTTGAAGTGAGTCTCTTTTTTCTCGCTCACGGTGGATGTCCATTTCCGCCTGCAGCAGCCTGCAGATACAGTCGGAGAGCGCCCGTGGGAATAAGAGCGTGAGTGTCAAAGAATCTTTCATTATTACAAAATATACCAAGGTAGTGAAATTTTCGAAAAAAAAATAATTTTATTTGGATAAAATGTGTCGAAACAATAGTGCTGGTTGCAATGTACTGGAGTCGATCATCGTATTTTCGAAACAATTCTTTTGTATTAATTATATTACCATCAGTTGTCACAATGCAACACATACGAAAATGCAAGTGCCCAGTGGAAATCAAAACCAGAACCACATGCGCGGAAGGTTTTTATACCCGTCACGGATACAACGCATTAAATTATGTAATTAATGTTTCAATAAAGAATTTTATTCTGCTTAGTTTTGATTAATTTAGAACAATTGCTTACATTTGTATTATATATTAGTGTTTTGAAGTTAAGAAATTTCATTTCCGTCATTCGATAGAGGGGCAACCTCCTGTGTGCTGGGGCCACAACTCCTCACAGACCACCACTTCCACCACGCCCCTACGTGTCGTTTGTGCCCAAAATCTACTTCCATCCCGTTTCTGTAGTTTTAGTACCGTTTCACTCTGTTCTAAATTTACTGCATATATTTCACTTTGCATTTGGAGCACGAACTCCGCAAGCAAGGCCTCCGTAACCCAAGTTCTATTATTTGACACTTGAGGAGACACCTTCTCCACAAACTTTATTGTTAGAACCATAATTTTCTCCTACACTGGGATCCGCAGATAAGAAGATAAAACTTTCCTTAAACCAAATGACCCATAAGTAGTTACACTTTAACTCTAACATAAAAATAAGATTTTTGAAAAGATTCTTAGCCCTCGTCCCACCACTCGCACCCCTCGGCAGCTAAAAACGAGTTTTATTTCATTTTGTGTCATCTTAACACAATTTTATCTGACTGAAAAAAAATATTACAAAACATTTTTTGATATTTTCTCAGCGCCAGACTCAAAAGCAAAAGCATTGAAAAAAATAACAAAAATAATTATTGTGTCTTAAATCCCCGAAACAGGCTCGAAAAAATCTCAAAAACACACATTATTGTGAATGTTTTTCCCATATATTTTCAACGGCTGGGGTTTAGTTTAAAAAAATAAAAACCATTATTACAATTTTCCTGTCATTAAATCTCCTGAACTTTAATTACACATGAAAATGACTGCAAACTCCTGTCCATTATTTTATTTAAGGTCCCATCAACATCTAGGTCATTATCGATCAATATTACATTTAACGGTATGGTAACTGTGAAGATGATATGATATCGTGATAATAAGGGTTGAAAGGACGAACACAATACAACCTCAATGCTCGAAACGGGACTCAAATCCGCGATCTTTGGATCCGAGATCGCTACGGCACTACTGTCTTAATGATCACGACCATATGGACGGGCCCTCCTGTGCATTATTTTAATATTAATTATTCGTATTTATACATCGTAGCGTCCAGTAATATTTTCACCATAGAATGTAATTATACATTATTATGTTTTTAAATCTTTAAAATCCTTTGTATACGTATGTCAATAATATCATGTGCTAAGGAAAGATGATAGTTTTTGGCAGTTTGTGAGAAACAGTTTCGAGCACAGGTGAAGGATACGTGGGTAGCATATGGGGAAATGACGGGGAACAGGTTGGACCCGGATTTTAAGAACTATTTTGCTGTGTATTAGAACACTGTCCTAGGCACGAAAAAATCTCAAAACATCTTCTCAAAACACCTGTTGTGTGATTTTTTTTCGTATTTTCTCAATTGCTGGGCTATAGTTTAAAAAAGCAAAAACTAAGACATCTCTAGTGAGGAACTTCTTGGCTGTCCGGGAGAAGCACCTGCGACTTTCATCCAGGAGGAAGGTTGCAGAATAGCGGCCGAAACGTTGGCACCTGGATATAAAACGCGGCGTCTCCCAGGCAGCCAAGTAGTTCACTGACCCAGGCCACAGAAGCATACACTCTAACGTCTGTAATTGTTTCAGAATAAAGAAAAAGTTGATTTTCCCTTACCTACGTATTTATTCTTGTGTACGTTTAAGTATCAGGACACGTGCGAAAACTCTGCACTTTGTAAAGTATCAAAAATATGCAGAAAGGACTCAAGATTTCAAAAAATTGTTCATGACCTTATTTCAAAACAAATCTTTGGGGAACCGATTATGCTAAGAGAAAAACCTGCATCTTCATAATTGTAGTTGTAGAAAGCGCCAAATGAATTATTAACTTTTGCGATTTTCGAAAAATCAGCTTTCAACAACCTTTCTCTTAAACGTCCTTCACACTATCCAACAAAAAAATTTAACCAATAACCATTTTGGGAACCATTTTTTGAAAATTTCGAAAATTTTACGGGGGCTTTATGTAAAGTACCCCCTAAAACTAAAATATCGGTGTCGAAATCATGGGGCCGCGACATCAGACAGATCGATTGGGTAATTTTGGAGAAAATCGGCTGAACTGTTTAGCCGCTTGCGTTGCTCACAGACGGACGGACAGACGTATTGGATTTTTCGGTATCAAGAACCCACAAAACAAGGATTCTAGCTACACCACGTGTTAGAAGATTTTTTAAATTTCGCAACTGGATTTACCCACTTTTTGGTTACCAGAGATATATATGTTATAATAAGAGTTTGTGTTTTACCGAAAATTCGCCGTTTTTTCGCGCAGCATTTCGTAACTTTCTCTCCGTGTTAGCGGTAGCGAGAAAGTAATAATAATTGTATGAAAATAATAATTATATTAGAACGTGTCCGCGGCCTGTAGAAGCGCGTTTAGTTGGTGTAGGAGCCGCGTCGGAGTTTAAACCCTCTGCATTAATACCCACCTGTAGAGCTTCTTTACCAGCCCGCCTTCCACGGCAGCCTGCATGAGCGCGTCGAGGCGACGCTGAAGGGAGCAGCGGGGTCGCGTCCACAGGACGGCGTACGCTGGGGTGAACAGACACTCGTCCACCACGTGCGCCAGCGGGTACCCCCATGCATCCGTCATGCCGGGCCACTCCAAGAACTTTTCCGCGTCCATGCGCGCCATCACGTACGCTGGACCCGGGCCCTCCACGGCCAGTCGCTGCCGTGCGTCGGCGACGAGGAGCGGCTCTTTGGAGTAAGGCCGGAATCTGCCAGGGAACACATCCGTAGACTTCTCTAATGCGCACTGTCACTATACAGATCGCTTCTACCTCGTTTTCTCTCTCCACACAACAAACCGCGGTGACTTCCAGAAGCGCTCCTACCAGCAATGCGACACACCCCTAGCCCCATCGGCTTACGCATCAACTGATGTCACTGCAGTGCCTCTGACCGGGAGACCCTAGGGTTGAATATCCGACAGTGGCAGGATTTTCGACAGTTGCTAGATAGCTAACTCGAATTCTTCCGCATTGTGGAGGAGAATTCTAGCGGCCGGCTGCTCTGATCGGTAGTTTACCGTGGTTTCTCCGATCAACAAGCAAAGGCTGGAGCAGTAGCGTAATAAACGAGCCAAGAACCGTGCACGATCTTCCCTTCCTTTCCTATCCCTACCTTACACACACATGAGTGTCATTACTACACATGACGAGAGACCGGAGGGAGGAACTTAGAGCTTGACTCGGCTGGGGCAGTGCCCTTCTGATGGGAGATCTTGGGAGGGGGAGGACCGCTAATAGATGTGTAGGTCGGCGCCGGATATTGCCATTCAGCTGCGGAAGATCACCGTCACCTCTCGTGGGAGAAACATCCGCCTCAATTTCGGATCTACTGACCACAGCAATTGACAGAATTTAATGTGAATGGGCAAAATTTTTTGCACTGAAACTGTTTGGAGGAGTATGTGAGTGCACAAAGCAAGAAATTTCATTCGCAACATCGACAACAGCATTAAAATTCATGTCAATGGCAACACATTTTAGTGGCTACATAATGGCCATGAAAGAGAAAAGGCAAGCTACACACAGATTCTAGCACTCGTTTTCTTAAGAAAAAGCGTTATCTCTGAATAGCGAATAGTTAATTAACACATGACCATAGTAATGCATTAGAGTGATGATATTAACTCAACAAAAAGGTGATAACGTGAACTCAACGTAAAATATATTTAAATTCAATTGACATTGATTCAAGATTTAAACAAAGCGGCTAGTAAAAGTTACATACTCAATTATATTTAATCTATTCGAATAGACAAATCAACTTTTTTTCAAGGCATTCATATCATGATTGTCATTTATATGAAGTTGTCAAAAAACGAGAGATCACTGTTAGTTTAATTCTTAAATAAAATGAATTTATTATATTTTATATCTAACTGTGAGTAGTTATATACGTAAGTTGTAATACACTGAGAAGACAAAAGTCATTGGATACCTCCTAATATTGTGTCGGACCTCCTTTTGCCGGGTGAAGTGTAGCAACTCGACGTGTCAATGGATTCAACAAGTCGCAGGAAGTCCCCTACAGGTATTGAGCCATGTTGCGTCTATAGCCACACAAAATTGCAAACGTGTTTCCGGTGCAGGATTTTGTGCACGAACTGACCTCTTGATTATGACCCATAAAGATTTGTTGGTATTTATGTAGGGCCACCTGGATGGCTAAATCATCCTTTCAGAATATTCTTCAAATCAATTGAGATAAATTGTGACTCGGTGTCATGACGTATTGTCATCCGTAAAAATTCAATTTTTGGAATACTCTATAACCGTGCTAAAGAAAGGCATATATTTTATCGTACTAGTTACATTCTTACTCTCTTCGACGTCTAAAACACTGCCAGTACCTCTCCCAGTACCTACCCCCCTTCTCGAAAATGACAAAATCTCGAAAATGCAACTTTACATATTTTCTCGTAGTAGGACATGGTACCACCGCCTTGGTGCTTGTACCATGGTTTTGGTACAAGATTTGGAATGGCCTACGTCTCAAACACCACTGAAATCATTCATGTCTTACGTGGGTTTCAAACCCACAACCATATAGTTTGGTTCATTTGTCAAAAAAATGAAAGGTTACACACCACACACAATACCATTTGCTACTGCACTACTGCCTTAACAATCTCGGCAATCCGGACAATATTAATCGATCACATTATAACATCAAAAAAACGCTCTATAAACATCAAAAGAAGTATTTTTGAACTCACATAGAGTTCATTAAGTATTTTTTGTTGTTTAGGTATTGTGTGTCCCTGAAATCTTTTACCTACGCAAATCCACATTGTAATATTCAGTTCAAATCAATATATTTTATCACTTCATTTTATATATTTTAACGGTTTCAGCAACAAATGAAATCTTACCTAGATAAAAGTTTCCAGATTACATCATTTTTGTCGACAGAATAAAGAATGCGCTGGAGTCCATCGGGTGCGAAGACTCCAGAGACTTCTCTAACTACTTCCTCCAGCGTCTGTATCTGCGGGGGTTCACCGAGGACAGCCAGGAAGCCCATGAAACGTCCGGTAAAAGCGTTGACCATCACCAGGCCGAAGACGCTCAGCAGTAGGTTCACCGTGTTGCCACGGATGTCACTTTCCCGGGTCTCAAAGCCTCCATTGATGAACGTGTCTAGAACCTCGAACACGACGGTTCTGGAAGAAGAGGATCCGGTAAAAATATTGACCATCACCAGCTCGAAGGCGCTCAGCAGTAGATACAACAAGTAGTCCCGGAGGTCACTTTCACAACACGGACAAAAAATACGGATTATCAAATAGGTTTTAAGTAATTTCTGAGTTCTCGTCTGGAAGCGGAGGTGAACGGTCGTGGCCGCTGCTCCGCAGTGCTTACCTTGTTCGTGTTGCTACGCGCAGAAGATAAGCTAACTCAGAGTGAACGAAGTGTATTAGAGTACTAGTTAGTTACTTTATTCAGTGTGCGTGTGAAGAATTACAGTGTAGGCTTCAGAAAGTGCACGTAAATTAAACCTATTTATTTCAAATTTGTGAATGATTGAAGTGTTCTGTAAAACATCAGTGAAAGTCAAATAACATGCTCTGACCTCGGACAGAGCATAGCAGCAGCAATGGAAGTAGTGAACGGAACCTCGCCTATACCAAACAGTTTATGTGTATATCAACAAAATGTTATTGCACAACAACAGCAACAATTGCAAGAACAGCAACAACAACTGCAGTCACAACAGCTACAACTAGATCAACTACAGCAACTCCCGACGCAGCAATCACAGTTTCCGCTATCAAGAAGCAGTACTTTGCCATTATTACCTTCTGCAGTACAGTCGTCAAGTTCAAGTTCAACCGATGTAATAAATCCAGAACTTCATCGATTTGACCGTAATTTAAGTAGTGATAACAACACCCATAAATGGCAGGTTGTTGTAAGCAAACCCATGAGATGTAAATCAAACAGCCCTGAAAATCAAAAACAAACCGAAACGTCAAAGTACAAACGTAACTAACATACCAACAGACAATAGATTTTCAAATCTCGAACTAATTAATGACGATGAACCCAATAACAAAACATCCAATGACAATCACAAATCTAACAACATTCAAAAGGTGCAAAAGCCACCGCCAATATTTCTCCCTGGGGTAAATGACTTCCACGCAATGACAGAAACTTTACAAAAAGACGTGAATAAAGAAGAGTATTGCTGCAAGCTTGTGGGCCAAGATACATTTAAAATTTTACCGGCAACTCCAGAAGCTTACCGATCACTTACTAAATACCTTATTAAAGAGGAAATTGAGTTTCACAGTTATCAGCTAAAACAAAAAAGGGCATTTGGAATAGCCTTAAAAATATCCACCCTACAGTAAATATTGATGAATTGAAAACAGAAATAGAAGAAAACGGTCATACTGTAAGAAATATCCACAACTGCAAACACCGTGTAACAAAAATTCCCCTACCGGTATTGTTTATTGATTTAGAACCAAAAGATAATAACGAAGACGTTTATAAATGGCAGTACCTTCAAAATACCCAAATAATCATTGAAGCTCCAAGAGTAAAACGATATCTTGTGCAGTGCCATCGCTGCCAAAGCTGGGAGCACACGAAACACTACTGCAGTCATCATTATCGGTGTGTAGTGTGCGGTGAGAATCACGATAGCAAAAACTGTGATAAAAATAAAAACAAGACGATTCTCCCAAAATGTGCTCTTTGTGATGGTCCACATACGGCGAGTTATAAAGGATGTGAAATTTATCGAGAAATACGTTAAAAAAATATCCACAGGCAACAAAAACTCCCCAACATTCAAACTATATTGCTTTACAAAATAAAGTGAATACAGATCAAGAAAAAGTCTCACAACTACGAGCTACTTCAACAAATAATTAACATCAGCGTGGTACTTATGCACAAACACTGAACAGCTCACAACAGAAGAATAGCTTAAACAATAATGCATTAAACATGGAGTCTAATAATCAATTATTCTCAATAAATACAGCAGTCTTTCTGAAACATTTGAAACTAATACTTAAATAGACAAGCAGAAAGATAAACTGCACTTTAAATCTGTGTCAAAAACTGCTAACTAAATTATGACGAAAATCATATAAAATAGCAGGATCGAAACGCCAAATGGCCTTGGTTATCAACACCGAGATGAAGTTAAGTTGTTTTCTTTCATTAACAAATACAGTCATTTATTCATTGTCAAAACTCATTTCTATCTAATAAGAGCTTTTTTCTCGGCTTTCAATGGATACACATATCGTACTTTACATAAATCATCCGGGAGTGGTACAATCGCACATGAGGAATCCATTTGCATATATTGTTCGGGAAAAAGATTAAACATCATTTAACATTCTCATTATATCACCATGTATTCTAGCAGCACAATCCATGCACAGTAAACGATGCATTCGAACATGAAATTATGGAGTCACATTTATATACTGCCCTCCAATAACATGAAATTCAGAATTCACAGTTCAACAAGTTTTCTTCAAAACACTTGGACCCTAAGATTTAGCTTCTGGCGGTGACTAAATTCTAAGCCAGTCACTTTGTGGGGCTCCAGACTAACGATCTCAAAAGGAATATCTTCTCAATGAATCTTACAATAAACGATAAGATATCACGTTAACTCTCCCTGGACAACCCATCTTATTCGCGCGTCTGAAGCATTAACGAAAATTCCTTGTGGTTTTTAGATTTCTTTTATTGTAAAGGAAGTAAACAAAATTTACAATTCAGCAACCGTACTGGTCAACAAGCATCTATCATCTGACCATGTCACATTGCTTATATCAACCAGTTCATTTCATTATTGAAGACAACAAGCAAAGGCTCAATTATAACAATAAAAACAGATTGGAAATTGGCCTATAAATAATAACAGCACCGTATATCTACCATTAAAAAGTTGCTCTCGTTATGATAAATGAAGCCATAGAATACTCATAACAAGAAACTTCATCAAGCTAACATGGTATTTGCTACAACCCACGCAAATTAATCCATATAAAAAAACATATCCCTCAATTAAACGAATTAAAAAATAACAATGCAAATCACTAAAATCCAGCATACTAAAGAAGACTAAATTTTACTTCACCAAACGTGAAAAGATTACTTCGAGAACACCGAACAATGCTCTACAAGATAAACTTACTAAGATTGACTCCAAATTCAAATTCAGAAGTACTCTCTTTGGAAAACCTACCAAATGCTTAAAGAGACCAATACAACATATTATCTTCCGATCAGAAAAAACTGATGGTAAAGATCATGGCTAAAAAGCGACGAAAGAAATCAACTGAATGCTTGCGCTCGTTCCATTTCTCTAACGTCTTTTCAACCATTTCCTCCACCAAATACCTGCAGCAGCGAAGTAGAAAGAAATTTACAACTTTCTAGATTCACCTTTTCAACAAGCTCCCCAAATCAAGCCCGTGAAGCCTGCTCGAGAAGTTGAAACATTAATCAAAATTTTAACTAACAAAAAAAAATCTCCGGATATTGAATTGATTTCTATAAACAATTTCTACGCCATTCTACCAAGAAAATTGTATAGCATTAATTACTTCCATTTTTCAATAGCCCATTCTAAAGATAGGACACTTCCCCAAGCAATGGAAAAATAGCCCCAAGTTATAGTCATCATCCTAAAGCCGGGCCAAACCAATGCATGAAGGTAGTATTCATACAGTATTAGTCTTCTACACAACCACTATCCAAAGTTTTGAAGAAAACTACTTCTGTCGCGTTTGAATCCACTTCTACAAGAAAAAGAAATAATACCCCCATCATCAATTTGGTTCAGACAAAGCCATTCGACTATAGAAACAAATCCATCGAATAGAAACGAAATTAGAGGAAAATCGCTAAAAAATAAAGAATATTGCTTTCTGTGTTTCTTCGCCATAAGTCAGGGCTTCGATTATAGGTCTGCAACCCAGGTTATATTGCATAAAAATAAGCAAAAACTACCATATCCTTACTATCTGCTTGATTAAAAATCTACCTCACGGAGATATATTTTCAAATAAAAATTTAACGGTGCGACTTCAGAAACTAAAATTCGGGCGGTTGCCTTTAAAAGTGTGCTTTGCACCTTTCCTTTAACTCATTATACACTGCTGACATCCAACATCTGAAAACGCATTAACAGCAACCTACGCGGATTGACACAGCCATCTTATCTCGACACAAACATGCCAGCAGAAGCATCACGTCTCGTAGTGAAAAACATCTGCCAATACATTCACAAGTGCAGAAAACGCTGGCGCCCCAAGACAAATACAGAAGTCTTGCCCAAAGTACCTTCACACTGAAGCACGAAACATGGCCCTCCTATGAAAAATTGGATCACACCTGTTCCTCAAAATTACTCAGCAAAAATATCTTGCGAATTACACTGAACAGAAGAAACTTACATGGAAAACACATATAAAGAATAAAAAGAAAAGATATTAGATCTCAAAAATTATGCAGATTAACTGGCTATTAGGAAAAAAACTCATCCTTAAGCAACGCAAAGAAAATTCTTCTGTATAAAGCATTACTAAAACCTGTCTGGACATATGGAATACCAACTTTGGGAGCAGCTCAAAAACAAATACTGAAAATATTACGTTTCCAATCTAAAAGCTTAAGAAAATTTGTAAATGCTCCTTGGTACGTAACGAACGCCACAATACACCGGGACTTACAAATGACAACAATAAAAGAAGAAATTAACAAGACCAGCGCTAAATACTTACAACGACTACACAACCATCAAAATATTCTTGCCATTAACTTACTAGACAATAGTTACACTACCAGACGACTTAAACGATATCATACTTTAGACCTGACATATTGACTATAAATTGTTATATTATTTTCTGTTTTATTATTATATATGCTTATCATCGTATATTTTTAGTATGTTAGTATAGTTATCAAATATGTTTAGTGTGTGTAAACCTGAAAAAAATGTAATATTAGGAGTACGGTCAATGAACCTTACTCCTCTCATGTTATTAAAAAAATTGTATGTAATTTTGCCAAATCTTTATACCCAAACAAATTGCAAAATAAAATATTGTTACAAAAAAATTCTAAGATATCAATTTGGTAAGTGTAATAGAAGCTCGAATGAAAGAAACGAATAAAAAATATGAAATAATATACAAATTATAGCTTTCGATGCATCCAAATGCCTCTAAGCATATCCAAACTACATTCACGAAGCGCAAGAAATTCAAAGCAAGCGACTATGCTTGTCGCCAAATTACACATAAATACTCATACTCTCGAAAACGCCAACCTGACCTTATTTGAAGATATATTTTTGGTGAACACGTTTCATTACGAAATGTGTTCATTAAAACACACTACGTCTTCACAACTGTAGGAAGATGCCGAATTTTTAATATTTATTTTTTCAACTTTCGAAAAATCTGGTATTTTAACGAACACTAGACCTGCATTATTCTCTTAAGCATTTTATATGTTATCTAAAGTCAAAATTTAATAAAAATGTTTGTGCCATTTTGAAGAAAATATGTTTTAATGACATGTTTAATTATATTTAAATATTGTTAAATTTAATAGAAATACAAATTGCCCATGTTTGAAACAACGTACTACTGGAATAGGATAGAGGATTGGATTTAAGACACTTTACAGGGGTTGGAGTAGCCCCTGTTAAGCATGCAAACTCGTTTTGTCGTAATAAATTTCCCGTGAGGTTATACGAGCAATGGAAACCGGAACCTCAGTGGTGAAAGACACGCTACTTCTCCACTGAGCCACGAGATCGCGCTGTGAGCATCGCGGTGAACAGCAGTGCAGTGGACTGTGAAGCCGTGCAAAGGAAGTGATAGCAGTGGACAGCAGTGCAGTAGTTAGTGCAACGAAGAGTGTAGCAATATAAAGCAAGTGAGCCATTTGAAAATAATCACGAAGAAAATCATGTAAAAAGAACTGTGATATAAATTTAGAAGACTGTATAAATAATTATTTTAGTGTATAATTAAGAAAGTAAATGACTTTGTTGAAATAAGTACGTTTTAATTCACCACCAAGTAACGTTAGAATATTTTAAGGTGGTAGTATTTTCTAGAATTCTAAAGTACTTATTAATGTTTTATGGAGATGATTCTAACGGACTAATACAAAAAACAACAGAGGTAAACTTACAGTTAAACGCGCGTAATAATTAGGTTATAAGTTAATAGGATTATGATAAATAAATAAAGATATTGTCAGGTATCAATATTTTAATTCAGCTTTAATTGAGCTGAATTAAAATATTGATACCTGACAATATCTTTATTTATTTATCATAATAAAAAGCTATCTACTTCACCAACAATCCAATTAATAATAGGGTTAGTTATGTATCTAATGAGCTAATCCTATGTTTATACCAAAATAATTCCAACGGACTAATACTACAGATGGAGGTAAAATCTTCAGATAGAACGTCGGAATGATATTTTAGGATGATAGTCAACGTCCATTCATTCACACGAGTCCAATGGCCTAATAGCGATAAACGGTGTTGCTGAGCGCACCTGCGGCCGATGACTCGAAGGGCGCCGGCGAAGAGGACGAGGGTGAGTCCGGTGGCTATCCAGGTGTCTGCGCAGAAGGACTGCATGATGCTCTGCTGCACCCGCCGCCTCCTCTTCACAATGACACACATGTCGACAGGGAGGTGCGGGTAGAGGTGGCCCAGCGGCTTCACGTCGCCGTACAACATGGGCTCGGCAATGATGTCCAAGGAGCCGTCCAGAAGGGAGTGCACGTTGTAGTAAGGAGGTGTTTCTACGCAGATGGACTTCTTGAAGCGGCTCGCGAGAACCTGCGAAAAATATTGAGAAAGCTATATGTCACCTTTTTGGATTCTTCCCTTTCTTTCGATTGCTTGTTTATGAAATCCACTTGATTACTATTGCCGTAAACCATAGCTATACTCTACAATTACTAATAATGTATTATAAAAGTGCGTTCATTAATTTTACTTTAGAATTACTGGAACGTATAAAACAGTACCTTCAATAATAGTATTATAGAATTATTATTTTGTATGAGAACAGCACCTGCATTAATTTTACTTTATATTTACTATGACTATTCCACTCGTGAAATTAAAATAAGGAGTGCTTAACTTTACATACAAATTTCCCAATCAGGGCGCTGTATCACAAAAAGTTTATCGCTTTTCTATACGATTTTTCTTACCACTTCTCCCTACTGATTAATCATAAACTGTGACTCATCTAACATAGGAGGAGGTATACATCGATTGGTATGTCGATGTCTAATAAACGGCGTATGTGCTGTAACATAACCTCTTTGATTTTAAAATAGATTTCAGTTATTTTCAATATTTGGCGTATTTTGAAACTCTGTTGGATATATTTTCATTCGTGGAATAGTCCTACTAAATACCACTCGTGCTTTGAAAATTCCCAGACAAATCCCCTACGGGAATTTATTGACAATTATCAAAGCACTATTACCGAGTGACAATCGTACGACCGTATGATAACCGCACCTTCATTAATATTAGTAAAGGATTACTAGCGTGTATGATTAAAATTCCTTCATTATTTTTCCACACAATTACTAGTATGTTTGATAACAGTAACTTCATTCATTTTACTACAGGCTACTAGTATTTTTTGATTATAGTATCTTCATTAATTATCTTCATTATCTACAGAATTCCTAGTTTGTATGATAATGATCCCATCTCAATCAGCTTTTTCTTCTAGTTTCTCTGATTCTTTGAACAAATGCTGCGATGGCCCCTTGTTTTGCTTTTGGACATAAATGTAACTTTATTATCTGTGCACGTCTTCTAGAATTCAGTGGGAAATATAGTTGATCAAATTATCGTTCTTTATGTTGTCGCGGCAGAAAGTATTATTTCTTCACGAAGGACTTGCACTTAGGAATAAGAGCTCAAATCTATAGCTGATTTACCCTTGAAAATAGATTTTATTACAACGGAGCGAATATTTTATTAAAAATTCTTTCAAAAAAGGCTCATTTCTTTCTGTATTCACAATTCAGGATGTATATGGCTTAGGGTAGGGTTCCAGAATTAAGAAAACGTGCACAGAATACACTTCTCCCCTTAGCACATCACACACAGTTTTTAAGTGTTTTTGACATAAAATAAAATTCAATTCAAAAACAATACCTTCAATGTACCCAGAATTACTAGTATGTATGATAAGAGTACCTTCATTAATTTTTCGCTTGTAGATTCATTTAACCATTTTGGGAGGGTTTTGCGATACTCAATGCCATATCGAAGAGTTTCCTCCGAAGATCGAGACACATTTTTCTTCATCACATGGCCTTCCTTGAACGACGTTAATGGAATAACTTTCTCTGGAACAATGGGTAGCAGCAAATGTCGACCCCTGGATGGTAAAGGCAGCGGAACACCAGAAGTCAAGGCAAAACCGAACATTGTCAAAATTACAAAAGTATTCCCGGGACCGGGCACCATATCTCTGAATAAAGAATTTTCCCTTCTTCTGATTTGAGTAGGTAAGTTTCCTAAGGATATGCACATTCCAAATAAGAGGGTGACAAAGCTTTAAAGAAAGACACAGAAACTTGCATGGCCAATAGTTATTACTCCCTCTGTAGTACACCCTTTCTTCCCACTTTTAGTTTCCACGTTACGAAATTTAGACATTTATAAAAATAATTCTTCACCCGAAGGATATAGTAATTTTCATGAATAAAATATACGATTCCTTCTCAAGTATACAATTTCTAACTCTCTATAATTTTCCAGATTATGAAATTTCCCTCGCGCTTTTGAAATAATTGTCCACTCGAATCAATACAAATGTTACGACACGATCAACATAAAGGGCTTCTCTTTGCTTGACAATGAAACATGAAATAATAATAATAATAATAATAATAATAATAATAATAATAATAATAATAATATGTGATACTCAATTTAAAATCACTTGAGTATTTAAATTCTATTAGATTTTGTAATCGGAAAAGTATTGATTCAGTAACAAATCAAATTTAAAAAATGCATATAAATGCAACCTCCAAAAGCAAACTAGAGCTGGAACAATGCACAGGCCATCTTCAATTATTAGCAACTGTTTATTAATATTATTATATTATAACTATTGTGACGTACCGTTTGGCCGGCTCTCCTCGACATGGGCGGCGGCACGGTTCGCGCCGCGCGTCGGGTCGTCGAGCAAAGAATGCAAAAGGTATTTCTTTCATTCTCGATTTCCTTGAAATGGGAAATCGGGGACTAAGGGTGAGGGTCTTGTCCGCGTTGCTCACGCTCACCTAAGGGAAACGAAACGCAAATGCATCTTTCAAAGGAAAACAATAACATTTAATGATTGAATAAATGTATACACGGGTATCTATTACCCTCCTGACGTGTAGTCAGAGATGGTGTCTAACACCATTATTTGCAATGCACCAGAAAAAAACGAAAGAAAACGAAAACACAAAAGATAATAATGTATCTTAAAAGTATAATAGTTCAAAATAATACTAAATAATGTACAATTCTAGTCATTCCCCGAAAACCACAAGAAAACACAAAAGAAAATAATGTACTTTAAAAGTACAATAGTTAAAAATATTACTAAATAAAACACAATTCTGACTGCACAGAATGTAACTCTATAGCAGGATTGCCAGACTTCAGAGCCAATGCAAAACTGGTATCGTTTGATGTCACCAATATGTATACGAACATTTCCCCATGTGAAGTTAAAGTAGAGCTTTAGAAGGATAGGTATGCGCGGCCGCCATATTTGGTCCGTTTGGCGGCAATGGCATATGATAACACGAACAAAGACAGTGCCGCTTAACAGTTGTTTTTTAATAAATATTTTTATTTATTATGAATCGCGTCAATACGTTTTAAGTACATATATTTGTAAATAGTTACAAACATATAAAAGATATTAATTAATTTCTCATACTTTTTCCAGGTGTCACAAACTATTCCATTCATCGCAATATCAAAATGCCTTGCTGCTGAGTAATAAATTGTTCTAATAGAACTGAAAATAATGTTAGACGCTTTATAGAGCCTTACTTTTATAGAAGAACAATTTCAATCAATGTCAAAAACTTCTTTTTCATTTTGCTTTACTCGTTTTTGCGACATTATATGATTCAATATAGCGATTTCTTTTACTGCTTCCAGCATTAAAGCTAAATTTTTATCTGCCAGAGAAAACACTATTTCCATAGTAACAAATATATTTTTCAGCTATTTCTTTCGTTTCTTCACTTGGCCTTCTTTTTTTTTGGTTTCTAAACATTGTATTAGATTTATTATAATGTATTTGTAACAATATCAAATTATAAAATAAAAACATTATTTTAATCTTAGATTAACATAAAAAACAATAAAATTTGCTATGTTTTATAAATTATTATTTAATAAATATTTATTAACGTTAAAATATAATTGTAATATTAATCTTTCAATGTTTTCAATATTCTTAAAAGATGCTTACTTTTTTGTACGTAACGACTGCATGTTGGATATTTCCCATATGCTGCAGTTGGATTTTGCTATAAATAAAAATGAATATATTAAAAATGTGTTAATGTATATTTATATTATTATATATAACATCTATAATCAATTTATATATAAATATTTTATCAATAATTATCTTTCATTTATAGTGTCAGAAGTAACCTCAAATTCTCGTATTGTAGAACGTAATTGAAGCACTTTTATGTTTTTTCAGACAGACAATCAAATATTTATTGATCCACTGATTGTTTCTTTCTTTTATATAATATTTCCGATCCGGAAAAGTTAAATATTTACCACATCAATTGAAAATACACGCTAGTGAACGCTGTGTTTACATCCGCAGCAATAGACCTATTGCTGGTATTCCGGACCCAATAAAGACATTTATACTAGACATATTATGATTTCTAAAACCCAATACCACGATAAAATATATTTAATAAACCTTCTTGATGTATGCATTGGATACAATTTTTTTAATTCAACAAAAAAAATTATAAACACACCCAAGGATTTGCAATGGGCCAAACCTTTCCCCTCTTTTCGCTGAAATGTTTATAGATAATTTTGAAAATTTACTATTTAATACCCTCAATCCCTTACGTAAGAACTTAGTCTATTACTACAGATATGCAGATTACATTGTTTGTCTACGGAATGGTACCCTCAGACAACTAGAGCAGTTTTTAGATTTTTTAAACAAGTTATACTCAAAAATTAAATTTATAATGGAACCTGAACAGAATAATACATTAAACGTCCTGGATTTAAATACTACAATTTCTAACAATAAGCACATGTTTAAAGTTTTAGAAAACATGCACAAACTGACAATCATTCCAAATATTTCTTATAAATTAGCTGTTTTCCACCCTTGAGTCCATCGCCTTTTAATAGTTCCCATCAAAAAGTCAGAGTACGTAAATGAAATTAGCATAATTAATCCATAGCTGTTCAGAATGAGTATAATCCACAGATCAAAGATAAAATTATCAAACAGAAAGAAAATAAATTTTTAATTGCAAAAATATTCCCTTAAAATTCAATTGACAATGACAAAACAATATATGTCAGCATTCATTATTTGATGGAGCTATGACAACAAACAAGACATAAAGAAAACAAAAGTTATTTGAACTGCTGATCAAGGCACGGACTTCACTTGATACAATAAAAATAACCAGGTTCAAATAAATTAAAACAGAGGTTCAATACACAATATCATACGATGCCGCCTCTAGACACAGTCATGACACAGTAATTGTAAAATGCTTTAATCACTATAATTTCTCACCACCATGAACGCAGGAAATAGCTTCATTGGGAAAAAGCAGTGTTCGTACGCCTCAATATGAACCTGAACTTCCGATATGTCGCTGGACTCGTCCTAATCCCGCGTAGTATTTAAATAATAAGCTCTGGTTCCTCACTCGCCCATGATTTACTCCCAAATAAATGTAACAAAATTCCGCTTGCCCTAATTTTCACCCTGGCGTAAATCCCAAATCTAAAAATAATGTTCACGGAAGAAAAAATCTAACAAATATAGACAACAAATCTAACAAATTTACACCACCTAGCCCTTACATTCTCCAGATTTACAATGCCCATTTTACTGTTGTAATCCACAGAATTTACGACAATATCTTGTCTTCTCGATGCTTTCTTGTCCATAAAATGATTCAGAGAAGGAGATAATAACAAAAATTCTCCATTTGGCGTTTATCATTAGCAGCGGTTTTTCGTGCAAACGTTACATAACTTTTATTTTCTTAAGAAGTTCCTTAAGCGCGAGAAAGTAAAAATTGACTTCCGAATATGCCTACTATTAAATGAACAATTAAATGTTCCGGGAACTTTTTGAAGCTAATAGTATACAGATATGTTTAAAATCGTAATTTCGAATGTATTCATAATGTGATATATTGAATAGCGTTTAGTTCTGGATGTTCAATTTACACGTGAAATTCGTCCATTGTTGATTTATCAATGCCGCGTTGGCAACAGCGCGCTGTAGCGAAAGTCTCTACCGCCACCGTCGATCGTATTGTTTATTAACTTTCTTCTTTTTACTCTCTCGCTTACTGCTTTTGTAGTATAGTTTAAGACTAAAATACGCATCAGATATCTTCGTGAAGATACTGAATAACTTATCACACTGAATTCAATGCCAGAAATATATTTTCATTTAAACTGTGGATTAAAAAATATACTTTTCAGGCTTCATTTATTTCCAAGATAAAGTTATATTTGAAGAGAAAGAATGGCAGGAATTGTGATATATTATTACATAATGGTAACATCGAGCGAGAAAGTATGTTTTATTGAAGCTCCTCTAGTTTTAAATATCTCTCACCCCGTTAATATGAATATTTCCAGGGATTTGTATACATAACTGCATTTATAAGTGGAAGTGCTTTAAATTGCTTTCAATGAAATTTTACGAAAACTGAAAAGTTTTCAGTGTAAAAGACCTTCAAGTTTCGCGTTTACAATAACGCCTAACAAGTTATGCGAGAACTGATGTCATAGCACTTCTGACCGGGAGGCCCTAGGTTCGCGTCCCGTCTGTGGCAGGTTTTCGACATTAGCTAGATACATAGGTCGAGTTCAGTCACTGTCTGGAAGAGAACTATAGCGGCAGACTGCTCTGATCGGTAGTTTCCCATAGTTTCTCCGGTCAATATCAGGCGAATGCCGGAGCAGTACCCTAACAAACGGGCCACGGACCGCGCGCGATCTTTCCTTCCTCTTCCTTATCCTTTATTTACACTTAGATGCACTACACTACTGCTGGGAGACCGGTCAGGAGCTTAGAGCTTGTCCTGGCCGGGGAGGTGCCCCGCTGGAGAAAGATACCTGATTGAGGAACACTCCATTGGCCGACGGTAGGTCGGCGTCGGCGGTCGGAAATCGTCATCCCGCGCAGGAAGATAACCGTCACCTCTCGAGGGAAAGAAGCAACACACTTACGGGACTAATGTCCTTAGCAATTGACGCGGACGAAAAATTACCGCATAGGACGAGGTTTTACTCTTATAATATTCTTAAAGTAATATTTCGGTTCTAACATTAAGAAACGGAAAAAATGAAAAACTGCGATTTTTTAAATAAGAAATTGGGCGGCGATAATGACAGCTGGCAGAGAGGAAGGGGCAAAACCGAAAAGCTAGCACGGACGAGAGATCACAGTGAACTACCTAGTACGAGACAGTCTGTGCCATTCTGTAGCATTTTTAGTTAAAACACTTTCCCGACGTCCTATATGTTACGCTACAGGAGTAGGTTGCTAATCACAACAATATTTGTTGCAAATGTTTATTCGAACATCAATTATTATTTTTGTTCATTTGACTGCTTCAAATGTAAAGTCGCGTGTATAATTGCCAATAGACGGGCGCAGACTCGCACCTTTTCTTATATTCTTGGTAGGTAGTACTCAAACTCTTTGTATGCAGGTGACCAAATTCAACTAACACTAAACGTTTTAAATCACCAAAACAAATTACACTTGGCAACAAAACTGACACGGGCACCTTAGGCAACTTACTTCGGCATCACATTTCATCGAATGATGCGATGGCATTTACATGTCAGGCGAATTCGATCTAAATTACAGCAAAGAGTTCAACTCTTACAACATCTTTTGAGGGAACCTCCACTCCCCTTGGAACTTCACTTGGCACTCTATAAAACGTGTTGCCGGCCTGTGGCCACCTACGCTGCAGCAACGTGGTGGACCTCAGCACAGAAGTACAAGGATACACTTGAGCGAGCACAGAACAAAGTTCTACGGCTCATAGCACGCCCACTGTTTCGGAAACGGTTGAAGGTATTTGAAATCGAGTCCTTCACTCAATGCTTGAGACGGTGTTCGTTTAACAAAGCCTATCAAGCCTTTCAAACCAACGAAGCTTCGGCAACGCTAAAACAATTAGCTCGAAACGTCCGCATTATAGGGCAAAGAAGACAAGCACTCCCTTCTGATATTCTGAGGGCGTAGTGCAACACAAAAGCCGATTTGGCTATTGACTAAGGTCCGATACGAATCCACACAAGGCCACTTACACGTAACTGTAAAACGCGAAATGCGTGTGAACTGCAACACAAGTACAAATCTTCGGCAAAGCCGAAGAAAGTCCAATTTCAATATTTTACCACAGTACACATATTTATGATTTTATTCCCATTTAATACCACTTATCAAAAAGTTTTGTGCATACGCAGGTCTTAAATTCATTATTGAATAACATAAAGAGTACATGTAATTTCGTTTTACAATAACATACCGATATAAAATATAAAATTAAAATAAAATTACTGTACATTTGGGACACAAACATACATAATTCATCGCTGTGTTTCAAAAACTGGAAAATTCATTTAGCGGAGTTTGGTAGTGTCCGAAAATTGAAATTGTCATTCATATCCAAAGCGATCATATTATACTCAGATAAATCGAATTCAACTTGAATTTTGGAAACGATGTGAAATTAATAAAGTTTTGAAACTATTTTCGGGTCAGTGTTTTATTTTAGACCTTGGTAAATAAAGTAAGGCGGTAAATCAGTTTCCTGTGTTGGCAATGCCACCCTTCCCGCAATTTTCCTTTTCGCGCCTTCGGAGGTATAATAATGATTTGGTAGGTACTATAATAACCAGATTCTGTGTCAAGCGGATGAAAGGGGATAAACGTGAATCAAGAGATATTGTACTCTAGTAGCAGAAAAGCAACTGAAAACAGCAGAAGTGGTAACTCCGTCCGTGTACTAGTTGCAGATTGTAATGTTTGTTTAATATTTAATTGATTTGGGCGAATTCTCTTTCAATCTTTCGTTGCAGCAATAAAATTTAATGATCTATGATTGCAAACATTTGTTTGCATCTTCTAACATGGCTTTCATGGATTCTGTAAAAACAAATCAGAATTAGGATATAGTATGAATTAATAACAAGTTTTCTAAAAAAATATCATTTATTAAACGCTACATTTTTGTAAGGTGCCGCCAGGAAGAGTAATTATCAAATTTACTTTGGTTTATTATCATATGATAGCATGAATCAAGAGCTAAGTTGAATAATCTCTTAATCTATTAAGAAACAAACATTAGTGTTAGGAGGGCATCTTTAGACGGAGTAATAATAACTCTAGAATGTCAGATGAAAGATACATAATTTTCTATATTGGAATTTTAGAATTGCATTGAGAGGTGTCAGTCAGATACCTGATACCAGCAGTACCTGACATTTAGCCCATATACAAAAAACACTCATTGTAGTAATAATATTCATGAGGTGACAGTATCAACAGCTCACTACAGAAAATTCACATACAATAAATCTGTTTCTATACAATACTAAGACTATACTGAGCATCCAACAGGAAAGAAATATTAATTTTAACAATGATATTTAATGTATTATTTACCATTTGGATTGCATAATTATTCATATTAAGGATCTCCATGTTGTGGCAGGAAGTCTTATTCCTTTACAAAGGCCACAATGAGGGATAAGAATCCAAATCTGTAGCTGATTTACCCTCCAAAATAATTTTTTTACATAAGAACAAATGTTTGCTTTGATGTAATAAAACAACACACAATCCTTGCAAAAAATGCTTATTTTTTCTATTTTCAAAATTCAACAACTATATGGCTTACAGTAGGGATCACATAATCATGAAAACATGCTCAAAATTCACTTATCCCTTTTGCACATCACACACAGCTTTTAACTGTTTTTGATATAAATAAATAAATAGCTGACAGGTGGACAAAATAATGATTAATTATGCAAATACTTTAGAATATTTAATACATGTATTTATAGTTTTATTGTAAGTTTCTTGGCCTTAATAAAACAGACTGAGTTTTTTATAACAATTTATTTAATGTTATTAATGTATTTAAAGTTTTGACCTTTAATGAGGTCTTTTTCAATAAACTACCTAAAAATATAAAGTAAGTTTTATTCAATAAAATGGTAACACACATCTGATAAAGTGATACATTGAGACGAATTGAACAATAATATTAATAAAAAACAAATTAAGACATACCACTGTCCAGACTATTTGACATCATAAAAAATGGTAAGCATTTAGATTATTAAAAATTGTCATCACGTAAAAATCAACTGGTATGCCAGGAGTCGCTTTTATTATAAAATCTGATTACAGTTTGACAGAGTTTACAAATGATACAAACCTTCTCTCTCTTTTGACTTATGAAATATGAATTGACTGGGCGAAGCTGACAACTTGGATCATATTTATAAGAATGACATTTTTTTTATCTAAACACTTACCGTTTTTTATGATGTCAACTAGCCTGGTCACTAGGTATGTCTTAATTTGCTTTTTAATTCTTATTATTTTTCAATTCGTCTCGATGCATCACTTTATCAGATATGGCATCATATGCATCACTTTACCATCTTATTGAATATAACTTACTTTATATTTTTAGGTTGCTTTTTTGAAAAAGACCCCAAATAGGGTTGGAATGTTAAATAAATGAATAACATGAAATAAAGTGTTATAAAAAAACTCAGTCTTTTGTATTAAGGTCAAGAAACTTACAATAAAATAAACATTAAAATGTTAGACATTAAAATATTTTTCACAATTCAGTATTGAAACTTGAATTCAATTTATTACCATAATGGATAAATAGAAAATACATATCTGCTTTTAAACTCTTAAGTCTCTTGTGCTGATGCACAGATTTTATTTAAAAAGGATTTTTTCCAAATCTCTTGTTTTTAATTTTAACAAAGTAAATCACTTCAAACTGCGTACAAACCTGTATTTTTATTACTCAAAGCCTTATAATGCAGTAGAACCCCAATAATCTGAACTAATTGGGGGTGTAGTCTATTCGTATTCAGAAATGTGCATATTATCCGAAAAAATGTACCGTTCTTATACAAATACGTCTATGATATTATCAGACAATGCAACATAGTGTGTGATGTGAGAAAATTGAAAAGTAGAATAGCGATCACATCATCACATTATTACATTGCATCTTCAAGTAGATTTACTTCCTCATGGCAAAAAAAGATTACCCATTTGGCTAAGTGAAAATTGCTGCTACATAAATGTGTTATACACATCTTAGTTACCAGGGTAATAAACATTTCATTTGGACAACTTGTGTTTCAATAATTATTTGTTCAGTTCTACAGTAATTATAAAATCCCTTCTTTACCTACAAATAACTATTTTTGTTTATTTTTCCTCCATCCTGAATTTTATTCAGATTATCTGAAATTTCAGATTAGTGAGGTTCTACTGTAGTTATTAATGATACAAATTTGAAAGGGACATTATATCAAAATTTCATTATGATCTCGCGTCATATATGTATCATTGATATATTGTTTATAGGTGTCCCAGATTCATTTCCTATTTAATTATAAAATTTATTTATCAAGAGATTCTCACTGCATTTATTTGTTCTGACAATAGTGACTTTTATTTCTGTTATTCATATTTGGCATTAGCAAAAGCATTATAAAATGTTACGTTACTGTTTATAATGATTGTAGTTTGTTCAAAATTATTTATATTGAACATAGTGAAATGGGTGAAGTTAATAATTATTATGTATGTTCTTAGTCCTGTTTTAAAATTCAATTAATTTTCTTTTACATTCCTGTGTAAAAAACATCATGAATCCCAAAGAACACATTTCCTTATATAAAAGCGTATGGAAACTCGAATGGGTGTACTATTTGGTAGTTAGGAGAGAGCACAAGAGAAATAGGAATTATTATTATTAATATTAATATAGTACACAAGAAATAAAACAATAATGAAATAAATACTAAGTTATACATTTTAAATTATAAAATGGATATAAAAAATAAAATATTACAATAATATCAACTTTTTCTAACAAATAAAATTTCATGATGAAAAATGTATTTATTGGTTTTAGAGACAATCAAAGATAGATGGCTAATAACCAGAATATATTAGTGGTGTGTGTGTAATAAATAAATACTAAGTGTTTATTGATGTTTAAAAAATAAAAAGGTTCACAATGTTTCATTAGAGCTGGTTGTTCACCGCATTGCATTATATTCTGTCACCAGGTAACATCAGCAATTTATAGAATAAATTTTCTTTCATCAGGTAAAATTTGATGAAATCTGAAATATAATACAATATAAAATTTTCCTCGAGAACAAAGATGGTTTTAAAGACATTTAAGAATGTTTTTAAAATAAAGGAATCTAAATGCTGCTGATGCTTGATGATGACACTAATATAATATTCAAAGAACGAACAAGCAAAGCTTTGCAAGACAAAGCCAATTCAGCCATCAGCAAGCTAGTTCAATGGATTCACCATAACAAACTAATTCTAAACCAAGACAAAACAATCATAATACCCTTCCACAACTCCCACTGAACATAAGAGTACTCACCAAATTTAACATTAGAAGGAAACCGCATCACACAAGCACAGAAAACAAAATTTCTCAGAATCACCTTATGATCCAACCTCAAATGGAACTTGCATCTCAAAGATATTAATACAAAATTGAGAAAACTTAATTATGCTCTTAGAATAATAATAAGAAACAGCGCCATTGAGACACCACATACATTGTACTTTGCAAGTGTGCACTTTATTCTCAAATACGGGACAATAATATGAGGCCAAGCACCAGAGGCTAAACAAACATTCAATATTCAAAAGAGAATCATTCGAACAATAACAAATACAAAAAGAACAGAGTCCTGCAGACTTCATTTCAGAAAACTTAACATACTTCCACTGCCTTGTATTTTTATTTATGAAGTTATGTTTGTAAAGTAAAATCTAGTGATCAATACACATTTTACAAATTTAACTCAAGCTTACACCCCTATAACACAAGGCAAGCATGTAACATTCATCAACCAATGTGTACAAGCACATTATACCAAAAAAGTACATTCTCTTGTGGTACACAATTCTTCAACAAATTACCAATACATCTGAGAAACACGACAGGCATGTACAACTTCAAGAAAAAACTTAAACACTTCCTTGGGGAAAAACTTTGTTATAGCATTCAGGAATACCTCAATGATTAACACATGCAATGTGATTTCAGGTGCTGCAGTAGTACTAGGTGTAGAAATAGGAAAAAATTTGGCTATAACCTGCCTCCTTCCCATTTCAAGATTTAATCAAGGAATACGCTAATACTGTTAAATCATATGTAGCTGTTACTATAATTGTTATCATGTACTGTTAGTATTATTATTATTATTATTATTATTATTATTATTATTATTATTATTATTACTATTATTGTTATTATTATTACTATTATTATTACTATTATTATTATTACCATTATTATAAGTAGTAGCAGTAAAATCATTATATCAAAAAAATGATATTTTGAAAAATAAAACAGTATAAATCTTTAAATGTTAAAATATTTTAAATTAAATTAAAGTAAGTCAAATATTCAACAATTTGCTGCTGATGCTGAGATGGCCCCTTGTTTTGCTTCTGGACAATAAAAATGAATGTAACTTCACTCGCTGCTCCCAAGAAGATGTATGCGATTGTACTCCCTCTAAATACATCATATTTGATTCGTCATACATGATTGTAATTGTATATGTGACTCAAATATTATTATTATTATTATTATTATTATTATTATTATGATTATTATTATTATTATTACTATTATTATTATTAAATATATTCTGTAAGCACAAAACAAATAAGAGAAACATACTTTTATGGTAATATAAAACACAAATAAATAATAAATTAGGATCCATTGAAGATCAAAGTCAATTGGTCAAGTTCAAATAAGGTACATTGAGAATTGAAGGCTAAAATAATCTCGGTTAAAAAAAAAATTGAGGTATATGCTTCACTCTGTGACATAAGGGGCTAAATAGTTGGACTCAGCCGAAACAACAAATGATATCTGGTTAGAAAGGAGGAGGAGATTGTTAGAAATAGGGTTTAGGAAAAGACAATAAGCAAATGGGAAGGAAAATAGAAATAGGATGAGAAAGTAAAATTCCACTTAAGTGCTTATTCTTCCATTTTTTAATTTTGTTTCTGCTTTCTATTCATGTCTCTATTTTCTTTCCCATTCACCTATACTTTTATCCTAAACCCCCTACTTCCTATTCATTCATGTCCTTGTCCTTGCTGTTGCTACTCAGAATACATGATTACTTGTTTTCCGAGTCCAATTTGTCTAGCTCCAAACGTTGGGGAATGAAACTTGTGCCTTGGTTTTGTATATCTGAAATGGCGAATTCATGCCTTCAGTTTCTGAGGTGTCTTGTTCTTGACCAATTGAATTTGACGTTCAATGGATTCTAATTTTTTATTTATTTGTCTTTTATGCTACTATATTGGTAAGTTTCTCCTATTTGTGTTATGTGCTCACAAAGTAAATTTAGGTTCCTTTATTGTCTAAATATTTTTGAAATCTTCCTTTGTTCTCAATGACAATATAGTGCTGGTTTTTGCTGGTGTTTCATTGTCTCTAAACCGTTAGATATGACTTACATTAAAATTTATATTGAACTTGTTTGCTATAGTATAACTTTACTTGATTTTTACAACCTAAACTAATGTAATGAAAATTATTGTTCATATAAAATCGATAAAAAAAAAAAGGACTTTTATTTATTTTAAATGAAGGAACCATTAATATATAGGTACTATATTCTTTTTCTATAGTATTTCTATTTTACAAACAAAAAAAATATTTTGAATATAATTGAAGGAAAAATGTATATGTCTTGCATGTTACTGCAGATTTTCTGAAAATATTATTTTTAATATTTCATTATTTATATTCTTCCTCCTTGTAAACAAGTACCCTGTGTATACTGAATGATAGCTTTACACAACAAAGAATGCATGGAAGAATGAGAAACACAGAAACATAAGAAGACCACACCTTTGCAAGGCCAGTTTTCTATGGAACAGAATAATTATTCAATAAGACTAATGTATTTTTACCCACTAAAAGATGACCACCCCTCTTCCCAACCAATGCCCATGAATTTTTGCCATAATGCATCACATTCCCTTTAAGATGACCAGAAAACCTCACACTGAATGAGAAACCTGCGAGTTCACTTACTACTGCCAAACCATTTTCAGTGTCTTTCGGCAACACAATCAGGCACATAAGATTTCATGATTACTCCAAAGGGGAGACCTTCCAGGAAATCAAGAGAAACTATTGCATTTTAAAATTGAAAGACAATTTCACAGTAGCAAAATAAATACCCCTGGATTATGATAATAAAGAGACTACCTTAGGTCAATAAACCTGAAGGAGGACAATTCTTAAAGTTCACTGTTCTATTATTTTTCGTATCATATTAATTAATAAATAAATTGATCAAAGAGGTTTAATGATGCAATGCAATAAAGCTTTCATTTGAAACCATAATAGTGTCACAAATTATATCTTGGTAGTCCTAGCAGTGACAGTGAATACAGGGGAATAGTGCGATGTTCCCTTCAAAAAGACTAGTACCTCTCCAAATGGCCAATTTTAAGGAATTAATCATGTTAAAGAGGTTTCACTATATTACCTTGTAATTAATTTGAGAAGAATTAATGTCCAAAACTTGTTTACTTTAGGATATATTTTAAAGGAAATAGAATAAAATTTCGAAAATATTTAGGGATTGAGGCAGTTGCAACAGCCCTATGTATCCAAAATTTTCTAGAAAGTATAAATAAAATAAATTATTAAGTGGTCATTTATGTAATATTGTAAATAATAATACTTTGTTTTAAAGTACATTCCAAAATGATTTCTGTGGTGTTCTTAAAAACAACTATGGAATAATTATTGGTAACATTATTGTTTAGTTGTGCATATCAGTAATAATTGGAAGCAAAGAATTCCAGCACAAAAAGATTATGTCCAGCATGTTAACAATAAAGTATATTAAGATTTGTAAGACAAGTAATAGTTGATGCAATTCTGAATGAGTATTTCTTGTGTTTCAGGGTGCTGTTTTTCAATGCAAAGGATGAATAAAAAGGATAGAGATAGTTCAGCTAAGAGGAAGAGAGGCCTCTTAGAAGCACTCTCATCTCAATCCAGTATTGAAGCGATGGTTGATGACTGGATTTCCAAGTATAAAGAAAATCAAAAGTTAGGATTTTTGGATCTGGCCCAGTTGCTTTCTGATGCTGCAGGTCACAATAAACTTATAAGTACTGAAATGATAGAGGAACAAAATGTAAAGCAAACGATAGACTCACTGGCATCGAGCATATCAGGAGATGTAAATCCCCCTGTCATGAATAAACGTGTAAAAGTAAGCATTGCAGTTTTCTTCCAGAGGCTGATTCAGAAGTGTAACAGCTTATTATTTGACAACTATTTGTTGGATATGTTCTTCAGCTTCCTGGTGCCAATGTCACTTCATTCTATGAGGGCATTTCGTTATGTGGGCACTCTCGTTGGATTGAAAGTAATGACTGCCTTGGTGAATGTTCTGAAGGTTACCTCCGATCATTGTGAAATTGCACAACAACAGCTTGCAACAGAGCAGAGTAAAGATATCAGCTCTCAGTCATCAGATCGTATTGAATTGCTTCAGGACCAGATTACTGAACTTAGCAGAAATAGAGAAGAACTGAATGCATGGTTGCACGATTACTCATTGAAAATTATATTCAAGGAAAGAATCTTAGATAAGATGCCGGAAATTCAAATTTTGTGCCTGTCTGAAGCAGCAACATGGATGCAGATATGTCCAAATATCTTTATGATTGATAAATATCTATTATATTATAAATTACTGATGGCCTGCCCATCAGCAAATGTGCGTGAAACAATTCTCAAGTCATTTTTATTATTATATGAAACAAGGTCGGTTAATGATAATCTTCAGACCTTTACAACAAAACATATTTCATCCTTTGTTGCCATGACACTTGATGCTTCAATAAATGTATCTGTTGTAGCTTTGAATTTACTCACAGAGATAATGAAGACTATTGGACCTCGTGTATTAGATGAATATAGAGATAACATTTTCCTTCTTGTTTTTAGCAAACATAAACAAGTAGCAACAGGAGCAGGCACTTTCCTGCTCACTTATCTAGATGTACAGATGGAGGAAAAGCCTTCTCATTTCAATATTTTAATGAACCTTGTAGAGTTCTTTGAAGAAGCACATCTCCCTTTGCATGCCCCATTTATGGTGGAGGCACTTCTTCACAAGTGCCCTGCATTGACAGATTGGGAAGTAATGTGTTCAGTGCTGATTAGAGATTGTGGAGATATGACCTTAGAGCAAGAAAATTGCTTTTTGAAGATCATGACGGCTGCCATGAATCAGGCATGTAATGGAATATCACCTCGTACTAAAGATGCAAAACCTATAATGACTGCAAAAATGGTGAAAATGAGGGACATCCACAAATTAAAAATCACTGAGTATTTCACTGAGCATTTACCACGACTTCTTCATAAATACAGAGAAAATTCAGATAAAGTTGTTATGTTTCTTCAGATTATCAAGCACTTACGATTTGAACGAATCATTCCTACCAAACAGGGAATTTTTAATTCATTTTCAAAAAGTATAGAGAACTTAATTGAAATTCATTCTGATGAGCAAGTTCTTCGTGGATGTTGTGATGTTATGGAGTTCATTAACTCTGAACTACATTCTGCTGCAGAATTTGGAGACTCTATGTGGGATTCTGTAGAAGGTCACATTTTTGGAAAGTTCATGCAGGCTGTAGAACAAATTCAGAAATGCATTCAAGTGAACATATCACCCAATGATGATCAGACATTCATTATATGCAACACTTTGGAAAAGTTAGTTATTTTCTGTGAATACAAAGATAGGAAATGGGAAGAATTGTGGATTGTCTGTCTCAATTTCATTACGCATTCTAGAAAACACTTGGAGTTTCCTGTAAACTTTATTACAAACTGCATCAAAATTTGCCACTTGAAGGTTCTGTGGGACAGAAAAGGATTAGATTCGGTTTCAGAAGAAAAATTAACTGAAAGTTTAGGTGTTCCTCTGCAAAGTAAACTACAACAATTGTTATATGTTCTTCAGCAACTAATGACACATGAAATAATGGAGTTACGTGAAACAGCGTATTTTGTCATTTGTGATGTTTTACTAATATTTTGTGAAGATTGCATGACTTCTGTAAAAAATCTAGGAATAATTGCAGATGAAACTCTCAAACCCCTATTGCAAAACTTTGTTGAGAAAATGGTATTTCAGGGTGATTATGTTGAGAAGGTTAAAAGAGGTTTTACATTGGAATTTAGACGGTCTGTATTAACAGCATATTGCAAACTAGTCTCTTATGGTATGTTGGATATTAAAGCTGGTATTTGGATTTTTAATTATTATGAAAAGAAAGGAAAAGATTATGATGATATATTAAAGAAAACCTTCGTAAACATGCTAGAAAGTGATGCAATTGAGTGTGGTCGGGCATTGATGAACATGTTAATATCTTCGTTCAGATTTCTACTTGAAAATGAAAAGAGAACTTTACAGTCCATGAAACAGATGTTGGGAGGCCATTATGGAACTTTTTCTCAATTATTATCTACATGCCCACAAGCATTTTTGCATTTTCACCAAGAGGGAATTTTATTTGCATTTGGAAAAGATGCAGATAGCAAAGGCAATAAGATATTCCTTGAAATTTTATTGGAATTTGTAGAGGCCCTTACTCCATCACAATCAACATTTTTACTAGAGCTTGTTAAGAGATTGGAAGGAAATTCACCTGAAGAATCAAGCTGTTCTGCTGGTTATCGAAATTCTCTGTTCAGAAAATCAAAGTCTGTTACCCCCACAAAAAAGAGAGAATCTTCTCAGCCTTCAACCAAACAGCAATCAAGATCTAATTCCAGGCCTGCCAAAAGGTTCAGTACGAGGAATATTGAAGATAATACATCTAAAATAACTTTCGAAGCTCCATCTGCAGCAAAACGTAAAACTTCTGTGTCCTATTCTTCAGTGAAGATAAAGAAGAACATTGGCAAATATGAATGTTAATTCTGTTAAAATATTATTTGTTATTATTTTAAAATTATAAACATGTTTTAATTTGTTATTAGTTCATTTTTATTGTAAGGATATTAAAACAATATATAGAATTTCTTGTGTTTGCATGCAAACTATGGAAAGAATTGTTTTTAGATTTTTTGAATGGCATAAAAGTAATGAGTAAGGTAATATTAAATATTTTGTTATCAGATTTTACTAAATTTGTATTCATGATAATGTATTGATGGTACTGTTAATATTTTATGTTTTCCTCAGAAGTGGTTTTTGTTTTCAACTTATTTTACTGCATCAAAACATTGATTTTAAGATAATATTTAAGACCATAAAAAATATATTATATATGTATAAATATATATTATGTTGTTCAATAAAATGTAAAAATAAAATACCTTATTTTGCCACAGCATTAAACTAAGAAATAGAATTCAATAATGTCACCTAAACCTGTCTGGATTGAAGTGGTTACCTTATTTCATAATAATTAATATAAAGTAAAAGATTTTAAAAGGAAATTAAAAGCAAATCTTTCTTTGTATCCGTATCTAGAATTTAAAAGATCGTGAAACATGAAGGAAAGAAAACATTGTTTAGTTTAAAATGTTAGATATATTTTAAAACAGCAATTTTTAGCATTTTCATCTTGAATGCTACATCATTTTTGTTTACTGACAGGAACTTTTTGCCAAAAAGTGATACTACATAATACTTAACTGCATAATGATACTATTCTAATGACATCCAGACTTGCATGTTGCATATTTCAATAGAAAATAAATTAACTAAAAATTACCTACAAACTCTTCAGAAGTACACTCCTCCCTCACTTCCCCAACTTAAAATGCTTCCAATGTATCTGCTAATAGAACAAAATACATACTTTTAGTATGGATAGTGCTAAATGTACTCTATAACATGACATTATATTATTTTGCTCTATTTTGTTTTAAATACGAAAAAAAAAAATTTTTACTTCTCACGTCGTATATAATTACGTTATCGGCGAATTTTTCACATTCATTTACTAGTACATATGCTTTAAATGATGTCATAAAGTTTCTTGAAAACTCAACAGTAGTTCAACATCAAATGTTAAATGCCATTTCCTCAAAAACGGCTCCAAATTCATTCTTCAAACATTGCAAACAGGTGTAATTGGATTCAGTGATAAGATATGATGTAAAGTTAATTTGTGGTATTCATTTGTTTTTTCAGAAATTACACAAATGTATTTTTTAAATAAGTGTCAGGCCGTTAATATACACATTTCCAGCAATTTGTTAACACTTGCATTTTAGAGTGGATGTGGTTTAAACGACTTCTAATGCAGTTTTTCGAAAACTCAAAAGTTATCTATGAAGAAGACCTTCATATTTCCCATTTATAATAAGACAATTGCAATTTTCTTAAAAACCTCCAAATTTTCCAATGAAAATTGTCAGTTTGGACAATGTTTTACTCTTTAACACTCATGAAGTAATAATTCGGTTCTACTAATATAAAACCGAAAAATTGAGAAAAAAAAAAAAAAATGTACATGATCTTAATGAAAGACAGAATAAAGTAGAAGAGAAGTGTAGAGAAAAAAATTTGCTTGAAGGAAAAATATCTATCTTTAATTTTGAAGTTATAGGAAGATTCCGAAAAAATTCCAACTTTTGAAAGTTTCGAAAATTTAGAGTTAACCTTGAAAATCGTACCTATGAAACCTTTATAAGTGTATTTGATTCCATTCTTGAAAAAAATTGGAGCAGATTTTTAAAAAGTAAATGTAACGTAAATATCCCAAGAGCTTCATGCACAATACCCCCAAAAATTAATGAATGTTTTTCAAACTCTCAAATCTTTGACTCGAGCGAGATCGACAAGGGTTTCTTCAATTTGGCTTAGGCGCTAGTGGTGTTAATGGACGGACGTTTTGCTGTCAATTGTTTTTTCGGTATATCTCACGAAACAGGGATTCTGGCTATGTGTTTGAAGATTTTTTTCTTAATTTAGCAACTGGATTTATCCACATTTTCGTTATCAGTGCTGGGCAATGAATTTTTTTCTGACGCGTTCTTTAGTGCAGCATGACATATACGTATGTATACGAGAATGTAAAAGTAAAAATTACCTTTATTTCACGCAAAATTACGAGAAAAGTTCTGAAATTTTCATAGAGACAGACGTTTTACCTCAATGGATTTTCCGTTACCAAGGACCCAGTAAACAGTCTGGCTTCACCACATGTTGGAAGATTTTTTTTTTTTTCAAATCTAGCATATGGTTTTATCCATTATTTT